GGTCTGAAATCCGTTTTAGCTAAAGGTCTAAACTTTGCAGTCACACCTAAACACATACCAGTTAATGATATAATTGCCCAAGTAGACGTTGCTCTCAGGGGCCTGGGTCACATCGCTGCAGACGTAGCAAGATCTGAAATCGCTGCAACCCTCAAAAATGCTAAGATGCCAGCTAGCAACCTCAGCAAAGATGAGCGTTTTGAATTATATAAATTAAAAAAGAGGAATGATATTGAGGAATGATATTGCTACTGTCATCATGGATAAAATAGAATACAACAACAAAATTAAAGAATTACTCGACGATGGTAGTTATACAAAAATAAAAAGAGATCCCACCAACAGCCTCGTCACACAAACCAACAAAATAATTTCTGATTCAACCGCATTAATTGATCAATCTAAACAGTTTTCGTTGAAACCTTCTGCTGCCAGGCCACCAAGATTATACGGCTTACCAAAAATACATAAAGTTGATACACCTCTTCGTCCCATAGTCTCTACTATCAGCTCCCCCACCTACAAACTAGCTCGTTTTTTGTCTGAAATCCTGCGTCCTTTCACTGGAAAGACCACCTCTGCGGTACAAAATTCTACTCACCTGGTATCAACAATCAAGGGTATTTCCCTGTCCCCAGACGACCTGCTTGTCAGTTTTGATGTAGTTTCCTTATTCACCAAGGTTCCTGTACCTGACACCATTGCAATCATTGAAGACTTGGTTCATCAAGGACTAAACACTGAGGTACCCCCCCTGGTGAGACACTGTTTAACCAATACATACTTCACTTGGAATGGAACTTTCTACAAACAAACTGAGGGCACCCCAATGGGCTCCCCCCTTTCTCCAGTTATAGCTAACATTTTCATGGAGAAATTTGAGACTGACGCCATCCAGACTGCCACTCTGCGCCCAACCTTATGGAAGAGGTACGTGGATGACACTTTTGTCATCTGGCCACATGGCCGGCCTGCTCTAGACCAATTCTTCGACCACATCAATTCCATACACCCAGCCATCAGATTTACCATGGAAGTCGAAATAGATGGCAAGATACCTTTTTTGGATGTCCTAATTAAAAAGAGACCTGATGGTTCAATGAGCCACTCTGTCTACAGGAAAGCTACCCATACGGATGCTTATCTGAAACCGGATTCCCACCACCATCCATCACAGAAGAATTATCTCATCAAGACTCTGTATCATAGAGCCCAATGCATATCCGACCAGGAACACATAAGCAGTGAACTCAAGCACGTACACCAAGCTCTTAGGGCTAATGGTTACTCCGACTATACAATCCGCAAAGCTATCACTCAAACCATGAAGAAGGGCCCTCTTGAGGAGCCTTTCAAAACCATCACTTTACCCTACATTGCTGGGATCACAAAAAAGATCTCCAAAATCTTGAATAAACACAAGATCCAGGTTCGTTTCAACACATTACATAAAATCCGTGATCTGGTTCCGTCTGTAAAAGATGTGATTCCGGACATACAATACCATTCTACAAACTAAGTTGCCTCTGTGGTAGTAGTTACATTGGAGAAACCAAACGCCATGTCTCGGACCGCATTCGTGAACATAAAGCAGACCTTAAACACGGTAGGACCAACACCTCGGCCGTAGCAGATCATTGTTCTAATTCAGTAGGCTCACATGCCATTGACTTTTCCAAGACGGAGGTTCTTTGTAAGCCATCTGGCTTCCATGAGAGATTCGTTCATGAGGCTATCCACATATACAAGCACAGAGACAATTTCAACCGAGAAGATGGATTCTATCTTAGCAATCATTGGAAAGATTTTATAAATCATTTCAGTTCTTAATTGATTGTTCACGCTTACAGTGGCTTTCAGATAGCATACATTATAAAAATTTTTGTCTCCCCCCTCCTCTTTTCAAAAAAATAGATGGACTAGTCCTGGGCAAACTGCCAAATCGCTGCGCGTGACGCTAACGTTTTTTTATAAATAAATAAATGTGCCGTTTAAAAATAAATTTATGCAAACCGACACACCTGATGATGACCGTTTGAGTTATGGTCGAAACGTCGTGAGAATTTTTTATTGTTTTATGTATATTTTGTTATTTTGTTGTTTCTCTTCAACGTGACTTTACCGAAAAAACTAAGAATATGAATTACTGCAGTCACGAAAGCTTTAAATCAAAATTTAGTGTGTGTGTGTTAGTGTGTGTGTTAGTGTGTGATAGTGTTTGTGTTGGTGTGTGTGGGTGAGTGGGTGGGTGATTGAGTGGGTGGGTGATTGAGTGGGTGAGTGAGTGGGTGAGTTAGTGGGTGAGTGAGTGAGTGGGTGAGCGAGTGAGTGGGTGAGTTGGTGAGTGAGTGGGTGGGTGAGTTGGTGAGTGAGTGAGTGGGTGAGTTGGTGAGTGAGTGGGTTGGTGACTGAGTGAGTGGGTGGGTGAGTTGGTGAGTGGGTGGTTGGGTGAGTGGGTTGGTGACTGAGTGAGTGGGTGGGTGAGTTGGTGAGTGGGTGGGTGAGTGAGTGGGTGAGTGAGTGGGTGAGTGAGTGAGTGGGTGAGTGAGTGGGTGAGTGAGTGAGTGGGTGAGTGAGTGGGTGAGTGAGTGAGTGAGTGGATGATTTGTAGCATCACCATCTCTGAAACCGGATCGCCAAGTTTGCTTTGTCCTGTTCACTGCGCGAACCTGTTCGTGCAGAGTGTGACAGTGTCACTGTGTGTTAGTGTGTGTGTGTGTGTTAGTGTCCCAAGCGAAATGCTGAGGGAGGGTGGCGTTTGTGCACAGACTGCCCTATATTACATCATAACAACAGTCTGGACCACTGGACGGGTTCCGCAGGATTGGAAGGATGCCCTGGTGGTCCCCCTTTTTAAGAAGGGGGACCGCACAGACTGTAACAACTACAGGGGCATCTCATTCCTCAGTGTGCCGGGAAAGGTCCTGGCAAGGATTATTCAGCATCGCCTTGCCAGGCACGTTGAGGAGAGGCTTGCGGAGCCCCAATGCGGTTTCAGGAAAGGGCGGTCCTGCACAGATGCCATATTTTCTGTCCGTCTGCTACAGCAGAGGTGTAGGGAATTCGAACAAGACCTACATCTCTACTTTATTGACCTGGTCAAGGCCTATGATACCATCAGTAGGCCTGGGCTCTGGGTCGTTCTTCGTGCTTTTGGAGTACCTGACCCTCTGCTCACGATCATTAAGGACCTTCATGATGGTGAGCGGGCCCGGGTAAAACTACGTGGCCGGGAGTCAGAGCCATTCCCTGTACACCTTGGGGTGCGACAGGGATGTCCTCTGGCTCCCACATTATTTAACATCTATTTTGACCACGTAGTTCGTGAAGCCTTCAATAGCTGTACCGGGGGAATCTCCATATGGTACAGATATAATGGGAGGCTAATCGATGCCCGGGTGCGGTCAAGGGATGGCTCCCTATTGCTCAACCACGTTATGTATGCTGATGATTTGGTAATAGCTGCTCAGTCAGAGGAGGAGTTGGAGACGCTGCTGCTGAGACTGGAGCGTGCCACTAAGAGGTGGGGCCTTACCATCAGCCCCACCAAAACTAAGCACCTGCCTGGGTATTTTGTACCATCGGACACTCCACCCCCACAACTCCCAATCGGTGATGGGGCAGTTGTGGAGAGAGTGGAGAGTTTCCCATATCTGGGCAGTGTGCTTATGACTGGCTCCAGTTTAACAGCAGAGGTCTCACTCCGAATCAGTCGAGCGGCAATATCTTTTCATCGGTTGCGTAACGCTGTGTGGAAGCTACCTGGTCTGTCGCTCCGCACTAAGCTTCAGGTCTTCTCGGCCACGGTCATTCCCTCCCTTCTCTACGCTTGCGAAACGTGGACCCCCCTAATGGAACATCTTCGCCGGTTAGAAACATTTAGGCTGGCCTGCCTACGATCCATCCTGGGTTTAGCCAGACTGGATTGTGTGAGGAGCTCACAAATCCTTGAAAGATCTGGGCAGGGTCCCATCGGTGAGCTCCTCCGGCAGGCAAGGCTGCGATGGCTGGGTCATGTAGCCCGCATGCCCAGCCACCGCATGCCGAAACAGCTTTTGTTTGGCCGGATTGAGGGGGCTAAGCGGGCGCGGCATGGGCTAGAGAAGAGATGGAGTGATGTGGTACAGGAGGACGTGGAGCTGAGTGGACTTGCCCATGACTGGTACCAGCGGTGTCAAGATCGGCCTCTGTGGAGGAGGCTCGTGAAGGACGCTACTGGGCAGTTGGAAGCAGTCGCCCTCCAACAACAACGGAGGGCGGAGGAGCGACGCTCACAACAACGAGCGGAGCGCCGGGTGGCTAAAGCACAGCAGGTTGGCACAGTAGGGGGCACAGGTGGTGCATAAGCCAGTCATCTCAGTCAGTCGACCCGTGGCACCTGGGTCTGCCCAGTGACCTCCTGCCAGTGGGCGTTCGACACTTCACGTGGCCTCACGGTGCACATAGCCTGGCACAAGCGTCGTGGTGATGTCACCGCCATTTAGTGGCGAATGGCGGTTGTTGTTGTTGTGTGTTAATGTGTGTGTTAGTGTGTGTTAGTGTGTGTGTGTGTTAGTGTGTGTGTTAGTGTGTGTGTTAGTGTGTGTGTTAGTGTGTGTTCGTGTGTTAGTGTGTGTGTGTTAGTGTGTGTGTTAGTGTGTGTCTGTGTTATTGTATGTGTGTGTGTTAGTGTGTCTGTGTGTGTGTTAGTTTGTGTGTTAGTGTGTCTGTGTGTGTCTCTCTGTGTGTGTGTTTGCGTGTGCGTCTGTGCGTTTGTACACTTATTCACACATACACCCACTCACCCACTCACCCACCCACTCACTCACCCACCCACTCACCCACCCACCCACCTACTCACCCACTCACCCACCCACCCACCCACTCACCCACTCACCCACTCACCCACCCACTCACCCACTCACCCACCCACTCACTCACCCACTCACTCACCCACTCACTCACCCACTCACTCACCCACCCACTCACCCAGTTGTGTAACCCGCTTCTCTCACCACCAGCTCCTCACCACCAGCTCCTCACCACCACCAGCTCACCAGCACCGCCGTCAAGATGATGGTCTCTAACCTCATGAGTTACATGTGTCGTGATGAAGGGGACCTTGAGATGGAGGTGACAAATCCCTTACACCACTTACACACACACACACTACTTATAATACTATAACTGCTTACACCACTACTACTTATACTACTACTATAACTACTATCACTTACACACACACTACTATCACTACTATCACTTACACACACACTCTCACACACTACTTATAACACTATAACTACTACTATTACTACTACTTATACTACTATAACTACTATCACTTACACACACACTCTCACACACTACTTATAACACTATAACTACTTATACTACTACTATAACTACTATCACTTACACACACACTACTATCACTACTATCACTTACACACACACACTACTTATAATACTATAACTGCTTACACCACTACTACTTATACTACTACTATAACTACTATCACTTACACACACACTACTATCACTACTATCACTTACACACACACTCTCACACACTACTTATAACACTATAACTACTACTATTACTACTACTTATACTACTATAACTACTATCACTTACACACACACTCTCACACACTACTTATAACACTATAACTACTTGTACTACTATAACTACTATCACTTACACACACACTACTATCACTACTATCACTTACACACACACACACACTACTTATAATACTATAACTACTACTTATACTACTACTTATACTACTACTATCACTTACACACACACACTCACACTACTATCACTACTACAACTACTATCACTTACACACACACTCACACACTACTTATAATACTATAACTACTACTACTTATACTACTACTTATACTACTACTTATAATACTATAACTACTTATACCACTACTACTATAACAACTATCACTTACACACACACACACACTACTTATAATACTATAACTACTTATACTACTACTATAACTACAAAGACAAAGATCCCCCATATAGCCTTAACAGACTGTAGGGGCAAGTGCTGCTAGCGAGCACCTATGAAGGCCGGAACGGTACACGAGGGGGTGGGTGGCCAGCACCACGCCCAACCGCCTTTGTCTCCCTAGTGGCGATGTTTACACACCGCACCAGGTACTCATTTGAGGCTGAGTCGACCTAGGGGAGGCCCGGGACCGGTTCAGATAATCGTCACTGGTGTTGGCCGTGAGCGGGAATCGAACCTGGGTCGCCAGGTTCATAGCGCAGCGCGCTTACACACACACACTCACACTACTATCACTACTACTACTACAATGACTTACACACACACACTACTTATAACACTATAACTACTTATACTAATACGTATACTACTACCACTTACACACACACACTACTATCACTACTACTACTATCACCTACACACACTCACACACTACTTATAATACTATAACTACTTATACTACTATTTATACTACTACTATAACTACTATCACTTACACACACACTACTATCACTACTACTTATACTACTACTTATACTACTACTATCACTTACACACTCACACTACTTATAATACTATAACTACCACTTATACTACTACTTATACTACTATCACTTACACACACACACTACTTATAACACTATTACTACTACTTATACTACTACTTATACTACTACTATCACTTACACACACACTACTATCACTACTACTACTACAATCACTTACACACACACATTACTTATAACACTATAACTACTACTTATACTACTACTACTTATACTAGTACTATCACTTACACACACACTACTATCACTACTACTACTACAATCACTTACACACACATTACCTTTAACACTATAACTACTACTTATACTACTACTTATACTACTACTAAAACTACTATCACTTACTCACGCACACTACTTATAATATTATAACTACTACTTATACCACTACTACTATAACTACTATCACTTACACACACACTACTATCACTACAACTACTACAATCACTTACACACACACTACTTATAACACTATAACTACTACTTATACTACTACTTATACTACTACTACTATAACTACTATCACTTACACACACACACTACTACTACTATCACTTACACCACTTACACACACACAAACTACTTAGAATACTATAACTACTACTTATACTACTACTTATACTACTAATAATACTATAACTACTCATACCACTACTACTAAAACTACTATCACTTAAACACACACTACTATCACTACTACTACTACTACAATCACTTACACACACACACTACTTACAATACTATAACTACTACTTATACTACTAATTATACTACTACTTAAAATACTATAACTACTTATACGACTACTACTATAACTACTATCAATTACACACACACTACTATCACTACTACTACAATCACTTAGACACACACACATACTACTTATAACACTATAACTACTACTTATACTACTACTTATACTACTACTACTATAACTACTATCATTTACACACACACTATTATCACTACTACTTATACTATCACTTACACACACACACCACTTACACACACACACACACTACATATAATACTATAACTACCACTACTACTACTTATACTACTACTATAACTACTATCACTTACACACACACTACTATCACTACTACTTATACTACTACTATAATTACTATCACTTACACACACTACTATAACTACTACTACTATCACTTACACACACACTACTTATAATACTATAACTAGTTATACTACTACTACTATAAACACTATCACTTACACACACACTACGATCACTACTTATACTACTACTTATACTACTTACACACACTACGTATAATACTATAACTACTTATACCTTTACTTATACTACTACTTATAATATTACTACTAGTATCACCACTTACACACACTACTACTACTACTATCCCTACTACTATTACTACTACTATCACCACTTACACACACACACTACTTATAATACTACTTGTACTACTACTTGTACTACTACTACTTATACTACTACTTATACTACTATAACTTATATCACTACTATCACTTACACACACACTACTATAACTACTACTTATACTACTACCACTACTACTACTACCACTACTACTACTATAACTACTATCACTTACACACACACTACTATCACTACTATCACTACTACTTATACTACTACTATAACTACTACTATAACTACTATCACTACTTATTCTACTACTACTTATACTACTATCACTACTACTAATACTATAACTACTATCACTTACACACACACTACTATCACTACTACTTATACTACTATAACTAATACTATAACTACTATCACACACACACTACTATCACTACTATCACTACTACTTATACTACTACTACTATAACTACTACTTATACTACTACTTATACTACTATAACTACTACTACCACTACTACTATAACTACTTTCACCACTTACACACACTACTATTACTACTACTTATACTACTACCACTACTACTACTTATACTACTACTATAACTACCATCACTTACACACACACTACTATCACTACTACTTATACTACTACTTATACTACTACTTATACTACTACTACCACTACTTATACTACTATAACTACTATCACTTACCCACACTACTATAACTACTACTTATACTACTACTATATCTACTACTTATCCTACTACTTATACTACTATAACTATCACTACTACTACGACCACCACTTACACACTATTACTACTACTTATACTACTACCACTACTACTTATACTACTACTATAATTACCATCACTTACACACACACTACTATCACTACTACTATAACTACTATCACTTACACACACACTACTATCACTACTACTTATACTACTACTATCACTTACACACACACTACTATAACCACTATCACTTACACACACTACTATAACCACTATTACTTACACACACACTACTATAACTACTATCACTTACACACACTACTATAACTACTACTTATACTACTACTTATACTACTATCACTACTATCACTACTACTACCACTACTACTATAACTACTATCACTTACACACACACTACTATAACTACAACAACAACCGCCATTCGCCACTAAGTGGTGGTGACGTCACCACGACGCTTGTGCCAGGCCATGTGCACCTTGAGGCCACGTGAAGTGTCGAACGCCCGCTGGCAGGAGGTCAATGGGCAGACCCAGCAGGTGCCACGGGTAGCCTGACTGAGATGACTGAGATGACTGGCTGGTACACCACCTGTGCCCCCTACTGTGCCAACCTGCTGTGCTTTAGCCACCCGGCACTCCGCTCGTTGTTGTGAGCATCGCTCCTCCGCCCTCCGTTGTTGTTGGAGGGCGACTGCCTCCAACTGCCCAATAGCGTCCTTCACGAGCCTCCTCCACAGAGGCCGATCTTGACACCGCTGGTACCAGTCATCGGCAAGTCCACTCAGCTCCACGTCCTCCTGTACCACATCACTCCATCTCTTCTCCAGCCCGTGCCGCGCCCGTTTAGCTCCCTCGATCCGGCCGAACAAAAGCTGTTTCGGCATGCAGTGGCTGGGCATGCGGGCTACATGACCCAGCCAACGCAGCCTTGCCTGCCGGAGGAGCTCACCGATGGGACCTTGCCCAGGATTTTTGAGCTCCTCACACAATCCAGCCTGGTTAAACCCAGGATGGATCGTAGGCAGGCCAGCCTAAATGTTTCCAACCGGCGAAGATGCTCCATTTAAGGGGGTCCACTTTTCGCAAGCGTAGAGAAGGGAGGGAATGACCGTGGCTGAGAAGACCTGAAGCTTAGTGCGGAGTGACAGACCAGGTAGCTTCCACACAGAAGCGTTACGCAACCGATGAAAAGATATTGCCGCTCGACTGATTCGGAGTGAGACCTCTGCTGTTAAACTGGAGCCGGTCATAAGCACACTGCCAGGTATGGGAAACTCTCCACTCTCTCCACAACTGCCCCATCACCGATTTGGAGTTGTGGGGTTGGAGTGTCCGATGGTACAAAATGTCCAGGCAGGTGCTTAGTTTTGGTGGGGCTGATGGTAAGGC